CACCAGGGGTCCCCTACGAAGGCGAGATGCCTCGCCAACCGTTCGTTGAACTGCATCGATGGAGCCGTTTTTTCGCGAGGGCAAACGGCCTTGACCTCGGGAGCGCGTCAGTTCTGGCGCAACACTCCCTGCGATATTCCAAGAAGTTTGCAGCTCGCCACGACTCTTGGAGTTGCGCCGAAATGTGCAGAGTTGCGACTGACGACATATGTCCGAAGGAGATTCGACGCTTCAAATTGACCGAGGCGAAAACGAAATCATTCTGAGCGAGTTCGAGTTTCAGCGTGAATGGGAACGAGACCTCGCAAGCCCCAAAATTTATCGAAGCGTCTGATCGTTTGTCATTCGAAACCGACGACCACGAATTGCTGCAAGAAACGAGTCGACCCTAACACCAAAAGCTGCTGAACACGACTCAGGAATCTTTTCATATCGCTTGGAGTTTGGACCGTCGGATCGACGTCTGCTTCAACGGACGAGATGGAGCACGACTTCTTCTTAAAGGGAGAATGACGTGTCGAACAGAAATGTTGCCACCTTCGACACCGTTTATATCATCTTGACAGCCAATTTCGGATTCCTCCAATTGGTTGGGAATTTGGCGCGCAAGTCATCTGCAGAGTCAGAAATCTGCCAAACAATTACCTTCCATACTTGGTAATAGCTGCAAACAAAAAACTGATAGGAGAATGTGAATCATCGGATCGGAGCGGAATTAACGGCACGAATGCAGTGAAAACCACCCTATGGAAAATTATCATTATGGTGACAACCTTCGTGACCAGCGACTGCACAATCGACGCATCTTCTGACTAGTGTTGATAGCGATCTACTTATTTTGACGAAGGTATCTTCGTTCAATATGGATTGACATCAACATTGCGGATCTTCATCCTGGAAAAACAATGAAGCTGCGTGAAGACATGTTCTCCATCCACGAGACACTTCTTCACATAAATTGATCGACTAGCTATGGTATTGTGGAGAAGTAGCCGTTTTCACTTGCAATATTCCCGATATCAACTTGCTTCGAAGAAGCAGATTTCGCACGCAACGATGAAGCAGTGAACCCATCTCGTCAAGGCCGGTGAGACACTACTTCGTAACAGGAGCTGACCGATTCGTCTTCATCAAGAACCTCAGCCATCCGAAGGGATTGATTGGTGCAGTCTCAACATCAACCTCACGAGGGGACACACCAATCATGCGTCGCGATTCTAAGTGTTAATGGCCTGCGTAAAAAATCCTTCTATGCATGTCACGATGCTTGATAGGTTGATGAGTAATTAACATCGAATCCGGCAAGTATTTGTTCATTAGCGAAGCTACGGCACATGCATTGGAGGCAATTCTACCAGAAGCCAACGCGTTACAAGCATCAGCGGAACTTCGGCGATGCAAGAGAACGCCAAGCAACACGATGTGTCAACAAATGAGGGAGATGTGGACTACTATAACACGATAAAGCGCTCTACCGACCGCACATCAGAGGCACGGATGAGCATACCAGAAATTGCTACCCGTGGACACATTGAGGGGAGAAGCAAATTTCTCTTGATACCCTCAAATGAAAACACCATCGGCAGCAATGGAGCAACACATGTGTACTAATGTGCTTGTGTTCCTGGTAGTTATGCCTGTTACACCCATCAGGAACACTCTACTGGGAAGAGGGAGTTGATGGATTCTCCTTCAACCATTACGAGTTGAGAGAATTCTCTGCAGCAGCTGCCGCCATCGCCATTATCGTTACTGCCGCCGCCGCCGCAGCAAAAGACTCGACACAGCACTCACAACCAAATCCTAATGGATGATTCTCCGCTCAATGGAGATAGTGTTGGATTATATTCCAGTAGGATCATATATGACCAGGCCAGACACAATACTATGATTTCCAGCTAGTGGGAAGGAGATACCACTATGCGAAGGAACAACATGGCAATACCATATACTCTCAAAAGTAGGAGATATTTGTTCTTATGAGGATGGGAGAACTACGGTAATCTACCAACATACAAGTCCTCGTGGCCTATGGCTTTCCTTAAAGTCATAAAACCTGCGTCGCAACCAATCTATCACTAGCACCACCTCCACGGAAGCAGATAGACGTAAAATGGAGCAGTGACGCCACTCCACATAGTGGACTCCGCGTATCTCCAACGACGCCCCCATTTGCCGAAACAAAGGAGATTCAACAATGATGCTGAGTAGCTGAGACGTCTTTAACATCAACGCTACGTCAAGGACAGTAACTGAATAAGACAACACATGATGGCACTAGAAGACCTATCCCAATATGTGTGCCCTGACACCGATGCATACTAATAGCCTTTGTGCTAAAATGGAAGTGCATAAGGTCATACTGGATTGACTGCCATCAATACCCACTTGGAAATGGGAGAGGATTATTTGGGAATAGCCCTAATATTCCCAGATGTCCTAACACATTACCGTGGGATATCTACGCAGCTGAGATTCCTTGCTTGAGCAACCACTGAGGGAAACTATTTTGGCACCGATTCTTGAAGTTACCAGCTCCGTGTTTATGGTATGAACCCATTGCATGGATTTGAACACAAGGGATATGCTGAGCAGCACTTCGCATGCACTGTTGTACTCAAGGTAGTGTGACTAGCGGACCGCGCGGTGGACAGAGTTACTACTAGTGATTTTGCTCTCCATCCTGTAGCACTACGATGCCGAGAGGGTACGACACGCGACAACACTAAGGCATGGACAAGCATTCGATAGAAGGTGCATGCATTAGTAGCTGCACTGCTACGGAAACAACTACAACAAACCCCAACACTTGGAGATCTTCACACGTGGACAAGATGCGGGTAACAGCATGCTCACTCCACAGCAACAGACAGTTCTGGTTACAGTCCAACTCGCTTACGATTTCATCACCATCGTCCACCATCTCAAAGATCGACCACACAAGCGCCTCTTGGACATCCAACAACAGCAGAACCACTTGGCCGCTCATCACTACCGTTATCCAAACTGTAATCTCGATATCACCCATTTTCATGCAAGCTTCAACCTTGCTTTTGCGGGTCTATCATCGTTAAAGCAGATGTCACTTCAGTCACCTTGCGCTTCCGCCTACCAGTCACTTAGAAGATCCATAATGTCTTCCATACCAGCTTCTTAAACCCTATCACGCTCTATACGGAATGCCAACCACCGTCACCGCCCGTGTTCGTCCATAATGAATCTAAATATGGGGACTATTACGTGCTCGGACACCGTCGTCGTTAGAATGGCACTCTAGAGCTTCTTCTTGGCTAAAAGAGTTCTTATCCTTCTAAGGCATGGGTAACGCCCGTCGTCCTCTTCGCGACTACCTTATCAAGCAGGTTGTTACTTCTACCACCCAGCTTTGAGGGGGGGAAGTGTGACAGTACGACCCCGTTACACAAATTTCCCCTTTCCATGTTTCTTTTCTATTTCATTGCTCTTTTTATCCTCATTCATTTGGTCTTTATCTCATCTCATTTGGTTTCCTACTTCTCATTTTCCATTATCCTTTGGTTTATCATGTTGTTATAATTATATCACATACCAAACTCGGGATGTACTGGCGCACTATATCTAGCGTAATCCTGCCGTAATCCCTTAAAGGCAATAGCCTCGCGTGGCTATATGTAGGGTGATTCTATTTCTAGAAGGGTCTATTCCCTTTGGATAGGATAAACCTGGTTACCTGATGTACTCTGGAAGTATAGAAGCACCTTGTACTCATGGATAGTGCAACATTGAGCAAACCTTATTCGATCCTGTGATAGTTCGCCTGCATGGTATTTCTGCGGCGATCATCGACGATAGATACCCAAAATTTCCTTCGCGCTTCTGGCAAGATACGTGGAACCGATACGGCACCCGCCTACAGTTCTCATCCATCTATCACCCGCAAACCGGCTATTAGACAGAAGAGACGTATCAGACCATGGAACAATTAATCGTACGAATTGCCCGAATATCAGCAAAAGGGAAGATTCGTTACCCATGCTGGGGTTTTCCTACAACAATGCTCCCTCCGCCCTGACCAATTATTCGCCTTTTATCCTGAATCACGTGACGGATCCGACGGTACCTATTTCCACTAGCGTCGAAAGCCAAGTCCCCCGCTCACAGCATTTCGTCGAAGACCTCCGAGCCGCCCGCACAAAAGCCATCGAATTTATCAGAAAAGCCAATGTCACTGCCCGCCAATACGCCGACCGCCACAGACGAGATACAGTTAAAAATTCGATCCCGCTAGTGTGGACCTTTAAAAATAATCAAGATGATAACGCCAGTGAGCGCCCATCTCCGCCTGCCTGACGACTGGAAAATTCATGATTCCTTCAATATCAGCCTCCTTCGTCCTTTTGTTGCCGACACGTCAAACGTCGCCTGACAACTGATCGTCCGGGATCTACGGCCAACCGAGGAGACGCTCATCGAACTAGCGGAGATCCTGGGCCATGGTGTAAGAATCAACGGTCAGGAACGACAAGCTGACTTTCTGATACGATGGACTCATCGTATTAGCGAGGATGACGCGTGGGTTCCCTCGGTACAAGTACAGTCGCCTACTGTACTCCGGGATTATTTATCCCGCAAGCATGTCGCAAATATAGACCACCTTCGCTAGAGGGGGGGTAGTGTAAGGAATTTTCCATTCCGTACTGCGCCGCACCGCTAACGCGTATACCGACCCCACACGGTACCTACATCCGCCCTAGCCTCGGCCCGAACACAGCACCGAACCATTTTCGTATCACTCCGAAGTGCTCCGCATCCTCGGATGCCTTCTTCGAACCCGTTCAATCACATGGCTAGGATTGCTCTGGTGTTCCTATATCTTTCTTCGTCATTCCATTGTACCACATTCTGTTATTCTGAATCTAGACATTCAATTCCGCTCTACTCGGATTAAACACTCATAACGACGTTCATACAAGGCCCCTTGTAGAGCGAACATACTGCTGAGCACAACCAACACCCCTTCCATGTCTCGTCTCGCCTCAGGGCGAGCCGCTACTTAGATCCCCGAGTCCTCCCCCAACCCCATCGTCCGTCGCATAAAATCATCGGCATAGCTCCAAGCCGGCTGTCGGCCATGTGTGTCGCAGCAGCGTCGCTCAGCGCTCACTTCTTATCTCTCGCCGCGAGGCCGCGACATTCCTTCATCCGATCGTTCAACCCGCTCCTCAACCCGCCTTTTGCCAGGCGTCGCGTCGCTGCACCCGCGATCAGGTCCCCCTCCGTCGTGCGCGCCATGGCAGATTCGCTAAGGGCGGATAGAGCGACCTCGCTAGAAGGCAGTGCGCGCGATTCGACCCAAATCCTGCCGTCCTGGGCGCAGAGAACGCTCTGTCCGGCCGGCGACGGTTGCGGCGACGGCGAGTGCGAACTGCTCCACGTGGACCCCACGTGGCGCGACGTGCTGGCGAGCCGACACGTGGCGCAAGGAGAGGGGAGGAGTAGCAGTAGTGCCAGACCGCGGCTGATCGTGTGCGCGGGACCAGAGAGGTCGGGTGCGGCCGCCAGCAAGAGTGTAGCGTCTCGGCAGAAAGTGCTTCATCTGAGCTTGCAAGCCCTCCATTCGCCCTCTTTCATTTCGCTCCGCTCCATTTCTCTCACAGTGCCCGCGAATGCCCCATTCCGGTGAACGCTCCGTTGAGGTTTCTGTGTTCCCCATACCCCGAACATGAAAGTTCCCCACCCAGTCGCCTCCTCTGGGCATCCGCACCGCATCTTCTCCCTGGAGGCTCGAAACCTCAGGCTTCAACCTCCACCCACCCACCCTTTGCACGTCCCCTCACCACCCCACTCCTCCGCCCCCCCCCATCACCTCTACCCCTCCCTGCAGACTCCAAAGTTCACACTCCATCTCTCCCCTCTCCCATTCCCCCCCTGCAGGCTCCACGTGGCTGTTCAACGCTGTCCGTCTGCTTCTCGCCCACTCTGGCCAGCTGGCGCTCTCCTATTGGCTGCACACCGTCACTGAGAGCAAGCTAAGGGCCAGGGGACTCACCGCACTGGGCAGCAGCGGACATGGGGGGGAGGGGGGAGGAGGGGGTGGGGAAGGGGGGGATAGGGAGGGCGGCAGAATGGTAGTGGGGGATGGAGTAGCGGTGCAGATGGGTGGAGACGCATGGGGAGGAGTGAACGTGGTGGTGAAGACGCACGAGTGGTCGGAGGAGTGGGAGGCTGGGGAGTGGACGAAGCAAGTGCTGGTGACTGATCGCCATCCCTGTGATGTTGTTGACTCGTACCTCCGTGTCGGCTGGCTGCCCCACAGCATGCCGTGAGTCCGTGGGCTTGTTACCACATACGCTGCCGTGAGTCAGTTTGCTGGTTACCACACAGCATGCCGTGAGTCAGTTTGCTGGTTACCACACAGCATGCCGTGAGTCAGTTTGCTGGTTACCACACAGCATGCCGTGAGTCAGTGGGCTGGTTGCGTTGCCACGCAGCATGCCGTGAGTCAGTGGGCTGGTTACCACACAGCATGCCATGAGTTGCGTTGCCCAGCATGCGTGACTGCGTTTGTCTCGTGGACCGACTGAGAGGGTAGAGTTGCGCTGCCACCAATCTCTTTCCGCTGGATGCCCCTCTCGCACCTGCACCTGCACGCATGCAGCCAGTCGCATCAAGGCCCGTCTGCGCTCCTGCGCGCGCGGCCACTGGCTCTGGGAGACCTGCCCTTTCTCCTTCCCTCCCCACCACCCATGTTCGTTCGTCCTCCCTCTCTTCCCACTGCGCCCTTCACCCCCATAAGCACCCCGCCATTCTCATCACGGCCCTTCTGTACTCCTACCTGCGTGGCCACCACTAGAGAAAGTGCGCTGCTTTCCTGATCCCCTTCTCCGCATGTCCTCTCTGCCTCTGGACTATCTGTGAGATTAACTCTGCCATGCCCACGCCTTACCTCCCATCTCCTTCCATCTCCTCCCATCTCCTCCCATCTCCTCCCATCTCCTCCCATCTCCTCCCATCTCCTCCCATCTCCTCCCATCTCCTCCCATCTCCTCCCATCTCCTCCCATCTTCTCCCATCTCCTCCCACCTTCTCCCATCTCCTCCCACCTTCTCCCATTGTCTCTCCATCACCCCAACCCTGCAGGTGCATCAAGGCCTACCTGCAGTCCGACCTGTCCGACCACCACCACTGGAAGCAGCAAGGTGCTCTCGTCATCCCCTTGTGCTCATCACCCCCGTGCACTCCCCTCCACCCCATCCCTTCCCCTCTGCACCCCTGCAGGCACATCAAGGCACATCTGCAGTCGTACCTGTCCGACCACCGCCGCTGGAAGCAGCACGCGGCTCTCGTCATCCCCTTCCCCGCCATCGTGCCGCCTGGGAGCGACTCTGAGCTGCACTGCCTCTCTCGCCTCGCCACGCTCCTGGGGCTAAACGTACAAGAGTCGGCGCAAGGGTCGGCGGAAGGGCCGGCGAAAGGGTCAGCTGAAGGTTCGGCGAAAGGGTCGGCTGTCGAGGTGACTGTATGTGGTGCTGGACGAGGGCGGGGTGGTGGGAGGGCAGTGGATGTGCGTGCCGTGTCAAGAGCCCTTGCCCAGCTCCCACTTCCCACAGGTATGGCCTTTCACCCATCTCCCACTCCGGGCCATCTCCCAGCCATCTCCCTCTGTTACGCCACCGCCCCCCACCCTCCCTCCCCTCTCCTTCTCTGTCCCCCTCACTTGACGCTGCTCCTCCGTTTACCTGCCATCAACAATCACTGCGCTCTGGGGCGGTGACCTGGTGGCGAAGCTGTCGCTCAGCGCTCTGTTCCAATCCGGCTTCACCATCCCCGCCCCTCCTTCTCCCTGCACTGCAGGGTGGGGCCCTGACCCGGTCACCAAGCTGTGGCCGCGTCACATCCGCTCGTCCCCCCACCCCAGCAGGCGAGCAGCAGCAACGGGGCTGACACGAGAGGAGCGGGAGGAGGTGCAGCAAGTTGTGTCAGTGTGGCTCACAGCACCTCCTAAGTAGACCCACCCGAGTGCCCAGCTGTGGCCAGGGAGCACCCTAGCAAGCTGGGGTCAGCAAGGGGTTTAACACGAGAGGAGCGAGAGGAGCGAGAGGAGTGAGAGGAGCGAGAGGAGCGAGAGGAGTGAGAGGAGCGAGAGGAGCGAGAGGAAATGCAGCAGTTTCTGTGAGCGCTCACAGCACCTCATATGCAGCCTGAGGATCAAAGCCAGGCTGTGGCCAGTGCACACCCTAGCAGGTGTGGGCCAGCAAAGGGGCGTGCAAAGCGGAGGTGCAGCAGTTTGTGTGTATGCTCTCAGCCTGCCACTGTTGGAAATATCTCAAGGACTTAAGCGTTTCAGAAGTGTAACACTACACTCGAGGAAAGTCGTAACGGGTACGCGAGTCAACAGAGGTTACACGAGGGGACGGACAAAGAACACGAAAGGACTCGAAGGGTCGCAACCGGAGGTTGCGACTGACCGTTACAGCTGCAAGGATGGTAACAGAACCGTCAATCGAGTTGCTGTGCGACTCGATAAACCGCTCTTTTAACTGTATTCTACAACTGCTTTAATTTCCTACTTTCTATATATTGCTGTATGCTTGTTTCCTTTAATCAATCACTTGTTCTCATATACTAGTACAAGGGTTCAACTACTCAACTTCCGCTGCATTACTCAAAGTCTCATTTTACATTTGGGACTTAGTCTCTGGAAAGATCCTAAGGGCATTTCTCAGCCCAACATGGTATGAGAGCTGGTCAGAGACCAAACTCCCAGCAACTACGCTCTATCTACAATCAGCACACCAACGACTTCATTGATTACAAGTCACGGACAGCAAGGGCAAGAAAACCTTTACGGGCTCACCCAGTGCCCAAGACACTCAACCCGGCAACTCTGGAATGCACACTTCAGGACTGCAAACCGAGACCGGCGCTGCTCAAGAAACAACAGGAAGAGCACCAGAAATGGTGACCCCATCACCCTCTTCAAGCGTGGACCCGAACCTCATGGAAAGGTTCTTCAGCTTCATGTCGCACTTCGACCAGCAGCAGCAGACAAGGACACCTGCGCATTCGATACAGAGCAACGGAGGAACCATGGGATTAGCGCCGATGAGCCTCGACAACTCATCGTTCGGGCGACACAATCAAGCGCCTACCTTTGCGCCTTATCACTCTTCACCGGGGACGTTCGAGTTCATGCCGCCCCGTGCCCAACCAACAGCAGCTGCATCACAACAGACACCAAATGAGATATTAAGCCTCCAGGCGCAGTTTTCATACGTAATCAAACTGCAGACATCCTTACCGTTCAACGGACACGACTTTTTTACCTGGAGTTTTGAGTTCGAGCTGCTGATGGAGGCCGCGCACCTCTTGGGATACTTCAACGGGTCCCTGCCATTTCCAAGCAATGGCACTGCGAAAGAGCAAGAAATTTCTACGTATCAGTCGCTGCTGGCGTACACAGTTCTCCTGCGGAACCTGTCACCACAAGAACAGCAAAGCATCAGAACGTATCGGAGCTATGGAAACTCCGCGGAACTCGCATGGCATCACCTCAAGTGTCTCTATCAAGCAAACGACAGCGTAACACAAAGCAGACTCATGCAGCAGCTGACAACAATACAGATGAAGACCGGGGAAAAGGCGATGCAGTATATGAGTCGCTGCCAGACACTCCGCGACCGCCTTCTTCGGTGCGGAGGAACAATCACTGAAGAAAGCTTCGTAACGCTTGTCCTCGCTGGGCTCGGGCCAGAATGGAGAACCACCCGCTCGCTTCTTCGCGCCCACGGACGAATCTCGGAGATGCACCTCTGCGCCGAGCTCCATGCTGAACAACAGGAGATGGACCTGTTTGAAGAAAGACAACCTAGGAAACAGCAACCGTTAGTCTTCTACACTCAACGAAGGAACGACAACAACTACAACCGACGCGACAAGCAAGATCAATGCGACAACAGATGACTCACCATCGTGCCGCCGTTCTGCCACAACTGTCAAACGTCCGGACACTCCAAAGTCAACTGCACACGTCCCTGACCTTATTGCCCAGTAGACCCACAAGTCGCTTCCACTCAAGAAAGCCCGCCGAGGCGTTCCTCCACATCTGCCCAAGGCACACCGAACATCATCAATTGCATGGTACACATCGACAACTGCGCACCCGGATCACCGCCCACTTATGCTCCAGATGAAGAAGAACTGTCGCCGCCGCGCTCACAAGGACTTCGGGTCAACCCAACGTACGCTGCAGTCGCCAACGCCGAACCCACCGGGCGAAACACTTGGTTCTTGGACAGTTGTTGCGGCCAACATATGTGTTCTTCCGGGCGCTTCGTGCAACGAGAGCGCCATCTCAACCGCGATGTCATCATCACCGTCGCCAACAACGAGAACTTGAAAACAAACAGACAAGGAGTGGTTCAGTTGCAGTCCATGGAGACGAACGTTATACTGCAACTCAACAAAGTTCTCATCGTCGACAATTTGGGATACAACTTACTCAGCGTCAGCCAGTTAATGGCAAATGGGATTCACCTGGAATGCGACTCAGACTCCAACGAATTTCGCCTTTACCACGGGAAGGGCGGTCTTTTCATCGGTCGCGCTCTCTTGAAGTCGGGAGTCTTCGTGTTGGACTTCGTCCTCGACCACGGAACTGCCGACAGCGATGGAATCGTGTCGTTCGCCACCTGGACGCACCCGCCGGATCTTGACCACGACTTCACCCCCGATGGATTCTGGTACTCCAACACCATACCTGCAGCCGAGAGAACACGAGCGTTAGTAGTCATTCGACAAGAAAGACAAGTACCAGCAAGCGTCCCTTCCACGACATCACCTGCAGTAGCAGCAGCAGGACCCAGCCGAGTACCATCACCAGCAATCCGAGGACCGCCAACCGAAGCAGATCAACTTATGCCCATCACACGAGAAGTCTGCCGCAGTCCCGCCACGGTCGTCGCGTTCTTCTCCAACACCGACATGTACCAACGCTCGCCCGGCCATCGTGCTCCCGACGACATCTGGCACCAACGCCTCGGGCATCCTGCAAACAACAAAGTACTACAAACCATCCAAGCCGAAGTGTTAGAACGAAACGCTCTTCTTAAAACGAGCGGCCAAGAACTTCGACGACCACGCGCACGATGCTTCACGTGCCCCGAAGCTCATCTTCCACACCAACCTTTTCCATCACATCACAACCCAAGCGCACTTGCATACGCACCGATGGAAAAAGTTTACAGCGACATCTTAAACATGCCTCGAGACAACACAGACGCCGACTTCAACTATGTCATCACGTTCATCGATGCAGCAACAAGATATGTCTAGCACTACAACCTCAAGACACGCGATCAAGCTTTCGAAGCCTTCACGACGTGGCTTCCCATCGCTGAACGAGAATCAGGAACTAAGCTCAAGAGCTTCCAGTCAGACGTCGCAGTGGAATACCAGTCACAACGATTCAGGAACTACTTGGCGGAAAGAGGAATCAGACGCCTGGTGTCTCTACCCTATGCTCACCAGCAGCAGGGGGTCGCAGAAAGAATGAACCGGACCTTGCAGACGACGATGCGGAAGCTGCTCCTTGGGATGAGACTGCCAAACACACCGTGGCCAGACGCGATGACCCATGCAGTCCACCTGCACAATTTGTTATCCTCGTCCTCGCTTCCCAACATCGCATCACCGCACCTGCTGTGGACACGAAAAAGGGGCAGCACAAAATTACTTCGGGTTTTCGGCTGCATGGTACAGTACAGACCCCACACAGCCCGAGCAGGATGCTTCACTCAACGAGCACGGTGGGGACTACACCTCGGCATCGCCAAACATTTTCAAGCATGGAAAATCCTCGACATACAAGACAAAAATTCCGTGGCATCACGTGATGTGATTTTCTACGAGCGACTGACGCTGCAGCATTACCTGGACAACGTCACCAACACAGACGACCCCACTGACGGCTTCGCGGGCCTTCGGTCCTTCGCCGACCGTGCCGCCGAAGCTGACGCAGCAGAAGAAGACGTACCTGGAGCTTCGGAAGCTGCCGGACCACTCCCTTACTATTCCGTGCCTGTTCCACTCGACGACGACAATCCTCTCGATAGCAACAACCTCGACACCCATTACCACTTCGCTGACCAAGGTTACGTTACACCTCACCCGGTCGACACGAATGTCTCAGAACGCATCGGCCCAAACTTCTTACCTGATCCAGAAGATGGTGACGAAGCAGCCTGTTCCGGGAATGAAAATTCCCCTCGACACACACCTACGGGACTGCAGATACTCGGCTTATGGGTCTCCGTCCAGCACCCGCCGCCACCAGCACACACAACGACTCTGTCGCAGGCTCTGGGGGGGGAACATAAGGCAAAATGGAAGGAGGCATTGGAAAAGGAACTGAAAGCTCTGCACGACCGAAATACATGGAAGCTGGTACCTGCAACGAACATCAACGGGAAGAATGTACTCTCAGGAAAGTGGGTATACCGCATCAAGACTAATGCGGACGGCTCCATCGAATGATTCAAGGCTCGATGGGTCGTACGAGGTTTCGATCAACGATACGGAACGGACTACACAGAAACATTCGCCCCAGTCTCCCGTCACACCTCCTTGCGCATTCTACTCGCCGTCGCGGCCACGAAGAAACTACCATTGCGCCAGATCGACGTCGCAAACGCCTTCCTGTACACACCTGTGGACGCCGAGATCATCGTCGAGCAGCCCCACGGATTCATCGACGACCCTACAAAAGTATGCTAGATGATAAAATCCCTTTACGGGATCAAGCAATCTCCGCGGCTTTGGCAGTAGCATCTTCATAGTCGCCTCGTCAGAATCGGGTTCCTACAGTTGCCGCACGACCAAGGCATGTACCGACTACAGAAGGAAAGGGGTTTTATTCTACTCATCGTCTACGTCGACGACCTGCTCTACATCGGCTCTACTACCGACATCGCCACCTGGTTCGAAGGGGAGCTGAGAAGTGACTTGACACTCATGGTGTCTAACACCGTGACCCAGTACCTGGGTCTGAACGTCGCCGAAGACAACTCGGCGTTCTACCTATACGCTGGAAAATACGCTGGCGTTGTCGCGAAGAAATTCGGACTAACACCAACTACAGTCACGACGCCCTACCGCTACGGGAACAACAACGACACCTCCGCAAAACTCCCCGCGAAGCAAATCCAGGAGTATCAGAAGAAGCGCGGCTGTCTACTATTCGCAGCAGTAACCTGCCGACCGGACCTATCTTACAGCGCGAGCCAACTGGCGACACATCTGAAACAGCCGGAACAAGAAGATCTCGAGGAACTAAATCGGGCACTACTCTACTTCGTCTCTACGCCGACGACCGGACTTACCTACAGTAAAGCAACAACATCGTCCGTACAACTGCTCGGAAACGTCGACGCCGACCACGCGGGAGACAGGGAAAATCGACGATCAAGGACGGGCTACATCTACCGACTAGAACCTATCGGGACAATCTCCTGGCAGTCGAGCAAGCAGGAACTAATCGCACTATCTTCCGCTGAAGCAGAATATATCGCCCTCTGCACTGC